CATTCCTGCACTCCTTCCCGGGCAGGGGGCCCTCTGATGGAGGGCAGGGGTGGGGTGCAGAGTTACACTGAGGAGCTCCACGTGAAGACGGTCCCAAGACCTGGTTTCCTCCTCCCCGAGCCCATGGGATGGGGCGTCTCTGACAACAATCCCTCCTCTGGGTCAGGGCTGCACCCGAGACTGAAATTAAAAGGAAAGAATCGCGTGGATGTTTACGCTCTCATGGGGTACTTTGGAAAAGGGCAAGAGTTTAAGGCATTTCCCCTAACTTAGCATTCCTGAACTCAGAAGCTGAAGGATTAAAACAAAACAAATAGAAAAAAGAATGCCACGCAGAATCCCAAATCGCTCAGCATCAGAACCCAAAGGCCCCTTCGGGATGCTGCAGGTCAAGTCCCTGGTCTCACAGATGAGGGGACAGACTGGGGAGAAGGCAGGGAAGGTGTAGGAGAGCGTGGGGAACCTCAGGGCTCCCAACTGCCCCCCGAGTTCTGCCATCACCCGACACATCACGATTCTCTGCTTCGGGCCAAGGAGAGCATCTTCTTTCCCTCAGAGGACGAGGGAGGTGAGCGGTCACTGGACGTCAGAACCGGGACGGCTGGGCCACCCCCTCTCCTGTCCCTAACATGCAGGGGTCAGGAGGCAGCCCAGGGGGAAAAGGTGGGACAAGAGCCCCACCTTCTAGTCCGTTCTACTCTTCCTGGATGACAAGGCAATCCACCAACCCAAAGACTGTCATTAACGTGCAGACGGGAGGGAGACCATCAGCAACTAAGGACACTCACGGTGCCCCCTGTCTGGAAAAGTACAGCTGACGCTTCCTAACCCGCCTTCCAGCTGTCACGCCCGCCACTATTTCTTCTCTACACCACAGCTGGAGTCATCTTTCTAAAATCTCTGTAAGACACAAAGTCCAGCCTGGCCCCCACCTCTTCCAATCTCACAGTATCCCTCACTTTCTGCCCCAGCCCTCCCCTCCCAAGTACGTACGTACACACACACACACACACACACACACACACACACACACACACACAGTTCACTCCTGTTTCCTTTTCCTGCCCTCTCTCCTGCCCTCGTCTAAGTGAGAAACAGCTACTCAG